CTAGACAGAAAAAACAAGGCTGCATGCAAAAAGGTTCAAGGCCAGTTTTCTTAAGCAGCGCTCTGCATTTTAAAATAATGACACAGCTTTTTCATTGAAAAAAATTAGCTAAATAAAAAAAAGTATCTCCAGCTGTTACATAAATGTAGTGCAGAAAAAAAGAGCCACATCTCCTGTAGTATTTTTACCTACTATTGCACAACAATGAGAAAAGAAGCATTTGTTGAAAGACTTTTTCAAATATGCACTGCAGCCCCAAACTTTCCTAGACTTTACTTGGCAATGGTAACCACAAGAAGGCGATTGTAAGATGCAGTCAGATGATGGATGTCCTTTGCAAAAGTATTTCCAGTAGTGGGAAACTGCATCACTTAAAAAGAACATCTTCTGGATTTTATTCTCTTGACACTCTGTGAAAACAACTCAGGTTTCAGCCTTTGAAACTGTTTAAAGTCTCAAACGTTCCTACCTATTAAGATCCCTCATCATGAGATTTTGGAACTCAGATGAGATGCCCCTGCTGAAGCTGGGCCGTGACAGCAGCCTGTCCGACTGTCTCCCGGGCTCTCTGTCTGTCTGATGGCTGGGCTGCCTCTGGAGGTGTGGGTTACGCAAGGCCATGCTGATGTCATTCAGGAGACGAGGCAAAGGACCCAGTTTGATGATGGCATCCTGTTGTTGGAGGGAAAACAAAAAGAAATAGCACTTTAGCTACATATTCATTAAAAACATTTTTGTGTAATCTAATGTAAGTGTTTTTCAGTACGTCCATCTTCATTCACCACGCACTGGAAATGTAATCACATGGAGTCTGATTTTGTGAAACATTTGAGGTGAGAGAACAAGACATTTTTTTTTAGATGCAGCTTTTAAAATCCTAAAATTACACATCGAATCTCAGCACGGCTTAGTCTGGCTGCACAATGTAAGCGATGTACTGTGTTATCAGAATGTTACCAACTGAACTCTGGCAATCCAATTTAAACTGTAATTATGTTTAGTTTTTAGTTTTACTTATTTTATGACATTATTTCACTTGCATGTGAGAAAGTACAACGTTGTTTTCCAGTTCCAGAGCAGCAGTATTATTACATATGAAACGACTACTTTGATGACTATGGTAGGTTAAATTCAGGATACTGTAGCGATAAATAACCCACTATGGATTTTTTTGACATATCATTTGATTTTTTTTTTTGACACTGTAATTTTATTGATAGTTTTGTCACAGTTTAAACACAGACATGTATTGCATTACAGGAGAAATAACCATGCAAGCACACAGTCAAAACAAACAGAACTAAAGCGAACAAAAGGTGTGGGTGCCAATTCTAATCAACTACCGTATGCATACCTGCCTTTACTCCGCAGCATACATACTCCAGCTTATATACGTACTTTTATACGGGCAAGCATCAATAGATATACAGAGTTATAGACCTTAAATGTTTTGTTCGTTCATTAATTTTCCTTGGTGCCATATAATGTCCACTTCTCCCACTTAGCAACGAAAATATCTTCCTTTAATCTGAGAATGTAAGTCATTTTTTCCATTGCATAGATTTCTCCAACAATATTAAACCAGTCTTTTGAAGAAGGCGGATCCAGTTTGCACCAGTTTCTTGTTATAGCTTTCTTTGCAGCTATCGACAGGATCTTTGTCAAATACAAGTCGTCGTACATAACATACTCTCTAATATTCCCAAGATATACAGTTTTAAAATTGT